GCCCCAGAAACGGCAGGGCCGTTTTTCCATTGCTTCCGAAAAAGAGTCTCTTGAAAACGAAAACGGCAAAAAAAACGGCTCCAGGATTGGAACCGGAGCCGGAACTTGTAAAAAAACGGTGACGGAACCGGTAAACAAAAACGGCGTCGGAACTGGCAACAAGAAATTGCAAAACGGAGCCGGTGAACAAAACAGCCCTGTCGTTTCCAGGGTCCCCTAAGGAGCCGAACACCTTCCGGCGAGCCCTCGTCGCGAGGCCTCCGAGGTGGCGAGGGGCGACGCGGGCGAGGAGGCGGGCGCCACGGACGTGTCTGGCCCGGCCGTCTTCGAGTTCGGCCGCATCTGCCGCGGGCCGAGCCCGCCTGGATCCCGTGCGCCCCGCCTCGAGGGCGCCCTCGAGGGCGCGAAGTTCTTCGCGCTTCGCGGCTCGGCTCGGCTCGGCTCGGCTCCTCCTCCTCCTCCTCCTCCTCCTCCTCCTCCTCCTTCCTCCTCCTCCTCCTCCTCCTCCTCCTCCTCCCTCCTCCTCCGCCTTCCCTCCTCCTCCTCCTCCTTCCTCCTCCTCCTCCTCCTCCTCCTCCCTCCTCCCTTCCTCCATCCTCCCCCTCCCCCTCCCTCCCTCCTCCTCCCTCCTCACTCCCTCCTCCTCCTCCTCTCCTCCACTCCTTCTCCTCCTCCTTGCTCCTCCTCCTCCTCCTCCCTCCCTCCTCCTCCTCCTCCTCCTCCTCCTCCTCCTCCTCCTCCTCCTCCTCCTTTCCTCCCTCCTCCTCCTCCTCCTCCTCCTCCTCCTCCTCCTCGTCTCCCCTGGTGGCGGCGCGAGAGGGTGAGAAGCCAGGCGCCACTGCAGCCTGTCGCCAGGGGGCCCTCTGCAGCACCTGGCGGCCCGAGCTCTCCGATGGTCTCGACAGGAAGGGGGGAGACGTGCCAGAAGCCCAGGGTCGAGGGTCGAGGTCTGGGGTTGTCGGACGCTCGGGTCGAGGGTCGAGGCCGGGGTCGAGGGCCGATGCCTCGAAAGGGGCCTCCCGGGGCGCCCCCGTGGCCACAGGCTGGGCCCCCCTGGAAGTCCTGGCCAGGAGGCGCCCAAGGAGAGGCCTCCTCCTCCTCCTCCTCCTCCTCCCCCTCCTCCTCCTCCTCCTCCTCCTCCTCCTCCTCCTCCTCCTCCTCCTCCTCCTCCTCCTCCTCCTCCTCCTCCTCCTCCTCCTCCAGCGTCCAGGACCGATCGCGGCCGCGCTTTTTCCCGGAAGCTTCTGTCTTGGGATACCTGCCTCAGGCTCGGGGCCGTCAACCCAGTTCAGAACCCGTGACGGACAGCCGACCCAGGGGATGGGTATACAGAGTTGTTCGGGATTTCCCTTCGCAAAACCAGTCGACGTCGGAGGTGTGCGGGCGTCCGCCGCCGAAAAGGAAGGGGCGCCACGGAGGATGTTGTGAGTGCCCCGAGGATGTCCGCCAGTCGGCCAAGTGGTGCTTGGCCTGTCGCATGCTGGGCCCCCTCTGGTGCCGGCGCGCTCCGTCAGGCAGCAGCCCCCCTCCTCCCCTTCCCTCCTCCCTCCTCCCCTCCTCCATCCTCCCCTCCCTCCTCCCTCCTCCCTCCTCCCTCCACCCTCCCCCCTCCTCCTCGGGGGAGCGCCGAGGACGCGGCCCACACCCATCGGGTCCCCAAGCGATTACGGACCCAGACGTGCGACGTCCTGACTGTTTCAGGACGGCGTCCCTGGGAGTCCCGGCCCTTTCCCCGGGACCGGCTTGTCGTCCTGAGTCGTTTCTGGACGGTCCCGAGGCCCGGCGAGGGCCCCCCGAGGCCGAGAACGGCCAAACACCTCCCGTCCTGATTCCCTGACCTTCCAGGAGGGCTAAAAAATAGCACCCGACCTAAAAACCTATCCCAGAGCTATTCTACGTCTTGGTTTTATGCTGTTTCGTTTAGTATTTTAGGTTTTTAGGTCTCCAGTGCTAAAAAATAACTCTCTGGAAGGTCAGGGTTTCTGTTACGCCGCGATCATGTCTGGGGACGCCTTCCTCCCCTTCTCTACAGCCCGCGCGGGGCGAGAAGGCGGGATGGCCTTCCCAGCGGGTGGCCCATCGAGCTGCCTCCGGTCGCGGAGCTCTGGGGCGGCGCCGGGCGCGGGTGCTTGCTCGGAGGCGTGTGCCGCCGACCTTACCCAGACCCCCTCGAGTTATGAAAAAATCACGACGCGAGGTTTTTCATGATTTTCGGCCTCTGGGGGCCCTTACCGGCCCTCGGGACCGTCAAAAAACGGCTCAGGACGAAAAACCGGTCCCGGGGAATGGGTCCGGACCTCTGGGGGTCGACGTCATGAAAAATTCATGACGTCGGGGGTCTGGGTATACCGCCCAGACAAGGGGCCGCCCGGAGCCCAGCGATGCACTCCAGGCCTCCCGGGCAAGGCTGGAAGGGCTGGGGCAGGGGGGGTTGCTTCGCATCGCCGAGGCAGTGGCGACGCGGTGCGATCTCTCTAGCCTGCCCCGGCTCCGGGCAGGGGAGACTGGGCATGCTGGGCTGATATTAAGTCGGGCCTGTCCCTTTACAGGGGGAATATTCAAAAATAGTCAAAAAATAGTCCGGGGACAATTTTGTGAGTATTTTTGGGCATCTTTTGATTATTGTTTGGGTTTTTTAACTTTACGTCCAAAATCGGCCTGTGGGGGGACACGCCCGACTTAAGGCTGGTAGGGAAGGGAGGAAGAAAGAGTCCGCGCGCCGCCGCCCAGGGAAGCGTGCGGCGCGAGGAGCGCGTGGCGGGCAGGGGTCCCCCCCGCTCCCCGAGTCGGCCGAGCTCGGTTCTCTCTGCGCAAGCTGCGCCGAGGAGACGGCGACGCGGTGCGATGCTCCAGCCCCGTCCCTTCTGGCCCCAGTCGCGAGGCATTCGGCGAAAAAAACACGCACGAAATCGAAAAATACACGGGGGATGGACGTCCGAGCGATGGCGAGGGGCTGACAGGGAAGGGAGGAAGAGAAGAGAGTCCGCGCGCCGCCGCCCAGGGAAGCGTGCGGCGCGAAGAGCGCGTGGCGGGGATGGGGCCCCCCACTCCCTGTCGGCCGAGAGCTCGATGCTCTCCGCGCAAGCGCTGCGCCGAGGAGGCGGCGAGGCGGCGCGATGCTCCAAAACCCGTCCCTGCTGGCCCCCGCCGCGAGGCCTCCGCGCACCCAGAAGTCGGGGGCGGAAAAGAGGGGGGTGAGGACTAGGGGCTCCTCCTGCTCCTCTTCCTCCTCCTCCTCCTCCGCCTGCTCCTCCTCCTCCTCCTCCTCCTCCTCCTCCTCCTCCTCCTCCTCCTCCTGCTCCTCTTCCTCCTCCTCCTCCTCCTCCTCCTCCTCCTCCTCGTCCTCCTCCTCCGTTGCTGGCCTTCTGGCCCGCATACGCCTCCGGTTTTCGGTGGTGGAAAAGAGGGGGGTGAGGACTAGGGGGGGGGGGATACCACGGCGTGGCCCATGATGTTTCCCCAGATCTCATGGCGCCTCTTCTCTTATCTCATGACGTCCCTGGCCCCCCCCCGCTGGGCCGCGCACGTGCCGCCGGTCATGATTTGCACGCCCCCCCCACTCTTGGACACCCCCCTCTTGGCCGCTCCCGAAGAAGCATTGTGTGATCAAAGTGATGCCAGCACTGTGCCTTCGGCCTTGATTTTTAAGCTTTTGCGGAGCAGCCCTTCACTCCAATCCGCGTTCTGGTCGACCTTTCTCGGATGTTTCTCGCGTGAGCTTTTCCGGTCGCGCGATGATCCATCGCCGTTAAGCCAAGACGTGAAGGCGTCGCAAATTACGGTGGAGGCGCTTGTTAAGGAAGAATCCCAGGAGGCGCCAGGCCTTGGAGGATTCCTTATCCAGTGAGGGCGGTGGTGGTATCCATAGCCGATCCACGATAGGAGTTCCACTGGCTTCCAGATCCCGGGTTCCTTAGCTAAGGGTTCTTTATGCAATGCCCCCACCGTATCAAGCTCAGGTCATTATTCTTCCTCTTTTCGTCCTCCTCGTCATCCTGCTCATTTCTTTCCAATCATCCGTATATATCTGATGCGTACTACTCATGGCTTAGCGTCTACTAAACTTGCGCATGGATCTACTGTTTGCAACATGATCGATATGATCGATTCGCGGGTCGATCGACTAATCATGCAATCGCCGTCTTTTCGTCGAGAGGGGTTGGGCAGGCGGGGGCATTTCAAAAAAGAGGAGCAGCAGGAACTGGAGAATCAGGAGGAGGAGGAGGTCATTGGGACCCTGGCACTTGGGGGTGTCACTCGGATCCGAAGAACCACCCCTGGCACCAAGTGGAACCCTTGCATTTTAAGCAGCGGGCACACACTGACAGGAAGACTGACATGTTTCATGTCAGAGGATCTGGGACAAGAGATCCCCCCCATGATCCAGAGATCGACGAAAGTTTTCGAACAGCGATCCACCGCGCTTCAAGCCGCTGCCCCTGAGCCGCATGCCATGAACAAACTGTTGTCAACATGTACGTATCGACTCCTCTCCTTCTCCCCCCACAGGCTAGCTCCATTCCCATCCCACAGGCTAGCTCCCTCCCCACAGGTCAGCTGCATTCCCATCCTTCTCCTCCCTCCCCACAGGTTAGCTCCATCCCCATCCCCATCCTCCGAGTACACCCTCGCTCCGTGCCCCCTTCGCTGAAGCACTCCTTGACGTCTGAGATCTGGCACCGGCAGACGCGGCGGCAGACGCGGCCTCCGCGGTGGCCACGCCGCCGGGGTCTGCCTCCGCGAGGCACGGACGGCGCCGGGAGGAGGAGGAGGCGGAGGGGGAGGAGGAGGAGGAGGAGGAGGAGGAGGAGGAGGAGGAGGAGGAGGAGGAGGAGGAGGAGGAGGAGGAGGAGGAGGAGAGGAAGGGAGGGAGGGGGGAGGGAGGGAGGGAGGGAGGGAGGGAGGAGGAGGAGGAGGAGGAGGAGGAGGAGGAGGAGCACGAGGGGCACGAGGAGCACGACGGCAAGGACGACACGGACGCGGCTTGGGCGGCGCCCGAG